GAGTAATAGCAGATAGGGTATACCGATAGGTTACATGACTCATTCGTCCCTTTTTTGTGCCTTTCGAGCACAGTATTGAGCCACGCCGCAAGGCGGCTCAAACATTACCGACAAAGACAAGGGAAACTGGAATGACCATTTCTGGCTTATAAGCCGTCATCAGACACGGATGGGGCACCAATTGGGATTGGGTATGGCTGGCAGATGACGGCTAACAAGCCATAAATGGCCAGTCTAATTTCCCTTGTCTTTGTCGGTGCTGTCTTTATGCCTTTATATTTGCTAAGAAAACTACCACGAAAAACAGTGTAAACTGGAAAGACCATTGTTGACTGACTATCCGGCGTCAGCTTGCCAGAACCATTCATACGTATGGGAAGTCTTAGGTTCAAATTAACACTCGTTAGTTGTTAGTCCGACGCTCTGAATTATTAAGCCAACATTTTATTACTCAGTTTGTTGTGATTAGATACATTAAAAATTATAGATTGGTGTATATACAGATCAGCTATGGGAGCTGCTCATCCCGCCGTGCTTCGAGACTCCTTTTTGCACCTTGTGGGTAGCTGCACAAAATTAAATCACTGACAAAAGACCAGGGAGACCGAAGTTTACCATATCTGACTTATTAGCTGCTAGGAAAATTGGGACGACAGCCTTCGAAGCTATAACGTTTCGACAAGATAAAGTGAAGACGCGTGTCTATTTTATGGTGTTAAAAAAAACCGGCCTTCTAGCTAGTAAAGTGCGGATAATCAATGGTGCTTAGCTAATTAATTTAAGAAAGTTAAGCCGGGATTGGCAAGAGCAATGTAACAGTCGAAGGCATTTCAAGAAACAGCAACATCGTATCACTAATTTACTAGAACATAACGCCAGTCAAAAGTAAAATTAGATAAGAAAATGTTAACTGTAAATCGGCCACCTTTTCATAATCCCCAGATCTATTTAAATTATTTATTCAGAAGCTTCTAAAGTGACGCATTTTGTGTACTGCGAAATTGGTTTGGTCCCTAGAGAATCAGGGACAATATGGCGATTAATTCGTTTACCTAGGGTATTAGCCGGAGGGTAAAACTTATAAAAATGAAGGCGCATAAAAGTCAGAGGAAACGCCAGAGGTTAACTAAAAGATAGAGCGGTTCGTAAATTCAATGGCACGAACACGTTTGTAGATGGCTGTTTCCAATAAAAATGGTAGCTAACAATTGAAGAAGATTTCTGCATTAAGTGCAGTGTAGGTAAGAAAAGTAATACTTTAGGCGCACAAAGGCAAGAACACTGAACCAAAAGGGATATTTTCGAAACAAATAGTAATATACGGAAGTAGCTGTGTGAGAACATGACTGCTAGAGGCTTCTTCGTAAAAAACTTAGTGAGAAGTCAAAAGCACACAATAAGTCTACCTGGAAGCTGACAATATGGTCGGCGAGAGGGCAGCCAGTGTCCACAGATCCGTCAAAACTCACATTGGTGCGAACAGCGAACACGACATTTGAGGTCTAGAAACAAGTAAAATCCGGCCTAGTCACATGGAGAAGAAAAATTGTTTATTATAAACAAAACGACACTTTCATGAAGGATTTCATTGAGCCAAAATCTCCTAACTGCTGCGAGTTGAAACCCACCATTCGTATTAGTTAGGGAAAGATGAAGCCTTGCCAAACAGCGCAACCAAGCAGGTAAAAGAACGAGGCCTTCGACAAACTGATTTGTACAGAGAAAAGAATGAAAACAAGTAGATGGACTCTTGATTCGTGAAAAAAGATGCCCTCCTGAAACTATCCCCACAAAATTAAGAAAGAAAAAGTTTTCAATCGAATGGATCCCTGTCTGTCCAATAACCCTGATGTTGAATACAACAGCGATATTAGCATAGAAAGGGGAATCCGCTGAAAACTTTGCTAGCGTTCCTCTTCCCAGGAAGAGATGCATTACTACTTTACTCTATTCAGCTTTTCAGAGCTTTGTCTCAGGGACTTTGCTAGTGTCGAAAATTTACGAATAAAGTTTGTTACCGTTTCCCGAAGAATTTCTTTATCAAATGGAATTATCTGCTCCCCAAGCAAGTAGCGCACGTTTCGCTTGTTGCGAGAGGGCTATCGCCACACTAGGTCTACCGCAGGAATCACGTGGACCACTGTGGTGTAGGGTGAAGTGTGAGTTGAATTCTGAGATCTTCATTTACCGAGCGTCTGAGTCACAAATTCGGACGGACAACAGACATCTACGCTGTATTGATAAAGGCTGTGTAACGTTAGTTTTGGGGTATTAGGAGGCAGGATCGTTCGCAAATTCTTTCTTCCAATACCAGAGGTCCGATTCCGATTGAATAGGTCAGCTCCCATACTATTCAGCTGTACCACCGGACCAAGGTTGCGAAGCGCGTCAGTCTCTGTGGGCGCCGGAGCACGAATCTTAGTAAAGTTACCGGACATAGTTTCCATTAGGTTTCTGGGAAAGTATAAGTACGGACGGGTCTCAATTACCGCTCCAATTGTTTTTCCAGAGTTCTCTCCTCTAGCGCTTTGGCCCAACCGTCTAACCACAAAGCATTAGTGGCCAGCGAGCTTATTTAGTTGCGGTTTTTGCGATATTTTATAGGCTTTTGGTGTTTCAAATCTCATCCCACCGCACAGTCGCAGCATGTTCGCTGCTAGTCTGCGACTGCGTATTCACTGTATCCGCAGCTACAGTTCACTGAAGGCCACTCCACTATCCATCACTTGTGGATGGGCAGGGAAGCGCGCCAAGGAGACTAGGATGAGAATAGCCTTCGGTGGTTAACTAGTAAAATGCCTGGGTTTATCGAAAAACCACCGACTCTTTATGTACGCCCACGAAGGCCCCGACAATTCAGCAGCATTTAAGATCGCGACTTTTGAAGTTTCATAGGTATTCAACAGCAAATATTTACGTTTACGTTGAAGTATCGTTTTTTGACCCAAAATTATTTTGTTTTTGTAGTTGACTGTCCTTTAATAATTCAACTTAAACAACAGTTTACCTGTAAGGGTGGATATGAACAAGTAGCTGATTAATTGCTGTCAAAAAGAAAATGGTTGCCTTTGCTTGCATTCGGTCAGTTGTTTAGGCTTCTCCATCATCAGTAAGATAAAGTCGAGGGCAAGAAAACGTACGCGAGCTTTTTCCAATTGTGCTTTCGCCAACTTCTCCGTCTCCTCTCGAACGGCCTCAGCATCCATTGATTTTGACGTGCCTTCATCATCACCGCCGTCAAAACTTATTTGTGAAGATGATATGGACCCCGGGGAGAGTTCGGATTGCTAGATGAAACGAAAGTTGGGGTTCTCAAGTTATTCTTTTTTTAATAATTCTTAGTTTGTAGCAAAAAACGTACACACACGAAAACAATCCCACGAAGATATAAATAAAAAGTATCAAACGCACAAATAACGCAAGTACCTGGCGCTCGAGGCTGGCAGTTTTGCTTGAGTATGTGCTCTCGGATCGCATACTAGCAGAAACCTTCATGCGAATGGATTATTTTTCATCCATTGTCTAAAAATAAGTACAGTTTAAATGTTCCAAGCAAACAGCAAGCACCATTCAAATAAGGAAACCGATCGTGTAGGATGGAAGAAGTATAAATTAAAGAGGCAACCTTTTCATCGTTTAAAGGTAGAATTATGCTATCGTCAAGGATGGTAAGGAATTTTTTTAGAACACTTTCGTGGATGAGTAAAATAGTAGTTGCGGTGACTGTCATTTTTTAAATTATAAATCGATTTGCATACTACCCTCGGAAATTTAGACATGTTATGCTACTATTTTACCGCAGCATTAGTCAAACAATGAAAGAGGGATGAGTAAACTGACTAAATAGAGAGAAACAAACTGAAGATCCACCTGTAATGTCTTTCAATCTTCAACGCGAAATTATGAAAGTTCATTTACAAAGTGCATGGTTAATTAAGAAACATTGTCCGCTCCAGACTAAAGAATTTAAGAAAACCATACGTACTGTGATCTAATGAATACTTAGAAGCGTTAAGTAAAGACATTTCTTGAGTGTGAAACATAAAAGTACAGCAAACTCCTACAACTATTGTTAAAACCTCAATATTTGAAACGCTTTTTCAATCATATCAGAATAACCAATAGACATCAGGCTAAACGTAAGTTTTGACAACAGTTTCATATTCAAAGTAGCTCAGGATCAAAAAATAGCATTTTCTTCATTCCCTGGAGTATACCAGTTATATTTCTGTACTGAGCTGCATAAATGTAAAGTCAAGTGTAATTGGAGATATGAAACTTTAAATAAGATTCGATAACGCGGCAAACTTAACGGGCTACTACTTCAGATACTTTGCTTGTATGAGGATAAAACTGCTTACGTAACATTAAACGAAAATTGCCTACCACTAGAACTGTACTGAAGCACATTAAAGAGGCAACCATCCAATTTCTGTCTTTTTAAGTGCGTCCAATAGCAAACACAGATATTTTTCATTTATATTTATAATCATGAAAGCAAAAACCCATTAACAACGAGCAATTTTTATTTTACTTAACGTGCTATAGGAAATGTATAGGATGGAGGCGCAGAAGGATATAAAACACCAACAAAATGGGTGCACTTAAAAAGGAATAGATACTCCAAGGCATGAACCCAATGATGCGCAAAGTTAGCAGATTTTCAATGATTTTAGTACATTCAAAAATGCTACGTTGTAATACATAGGACGAAAAGGAACCAGAAAAATGTTTTAAACATAGAAGCAAACGTTCTTTAGATAGGAAAGTTTCTCCATGTTTGAATCATATAAAGTTTCATCTTATGGAACATGGCTAACATATTCCTCCGATATTTAAACCGAAAATAATTTAAACATGTGAAGATGAACTAAAGTAATTAATTCATTATTCATATGTACAAATATCTTAACGTTCAAGTTATATTTGGAATAAGTGGTAAAAGGAACTGACTTATTGTCGGAAATGGTGCAGTAGATCAAACAAAACGATAATATTCCTTACTGAGGCGATTAAGACTTTTAGCAAATGTTGTCCAGCTATTCATAAAAAGAATGAATTTACTTGTACGTAGCGCACATATTCATTTTTCACAGGAAAGGTGACAGTGTGCATTTAGACCGTCTATTAAACATAAGCCTACGAAGCTTATAAGCACATAATACGCTTCGCGACAAAAACAGTACAAGGGCTGATGAGGAAAACATATAAACGTACAAAGCCCTTTGAATATCGTTGTCAATTCCTAAAAATTGCAGTAATGCTTAAATTGCGTTTGTGCGACCTTAAATGAATGAACAGAATTGGTTGATTAAAACAAAAGCTCACGAAATAATGTCGACTTTCTCTATTTTTCTAAATTCGATATATGCATGAAGTTATGTTGAGGAAATTTATATGTAGAAAACCACAGTAAAATATTTTTGATTTTCGGTAGAGAGTGGGCAAAATCTCGTAATTCAAATGGCAATTTTCATTACAGAATTCCCAAAAAGTTACAAACAAAATACGCTTATAATCTGTAAGAATTATGTTCTTATATTAGAGAACATAACACCTGGAGCTTGGTCAAATCACTGAACTTCAGGCGGTGGGTCGAACTTGGTCAGCATTTATAATGAAATGCCGCTGTTCAGTAGGGAAGATATATTTTATAACAAAGTGATTGAAAGCCGGAGTTGTTTGGCGATTTCGAAGGCAAGCTGGTTCCGTAGGAAGATCTTATCGGGTGTCGCCATGAGACTTGAATTCGTTGAGTCCACTTTATTTCTTTCTCGTGGCGTCGTTTAAATCGGGATTTCAATAGCTTTCATTGCACCTATAAATGGGTTTATTAATAATAGGTAGGGAAATCGGAAAATTTGAATAATTCATTGAACTCTGTAGTGAAAATCAATGTTATATCTGTGGGGTGTGAACCCATAGCAGGAACGGAAAGGCCTTCTACAGCCGATGCTTTACGAGCCGATGCTAAGTGATGCGCCGAGGCCGCCGAATTTCACACAATGGAGCCCAGCGAATAGAATACTAGTAAATATTTGTATTCGAAATGCCTAAAGTGCAGTGTAAAACGAAAGTTATCATTCGGGTAAAATACTGACAATGTGCCCATCGTAACTCTGGGTTCGTAGCCAGATATACCAGATATTACCAAGGTTTGCCATTACAAATTAATACATAAAATTTTGTTTAGAAAATAATGTTTGAATAAGAAATAAATGGAGTCTGAATGTGAGCATAAAATGCCAATATAATGCGCTCGCTTGAGTTAGTTCACATGATAACTCTGGAATAATCGTCAATGGTCTTTAGGCCTCGACATCTCAGTAGGTACATAAGTATTTAAATTTAGAGGAAATAAAGTCGTTAATGTCTGTTTCCTT